CACGCAAGACATTGCTTTCTATTCCCTTTTCCTGGCTCGCAGACCCTTCTTCTCTCCCCTTGGCTGGGCTACTCAGAAGGTTCAATCTTCTCCGTCCGCCTACATCATACGACCCCTTGATATGCCCCCCTCCCGCACATACATCCCATGTTCATGCTAAGGAGCCCATTACCTATGAGAGGTGTGTCAGTTACTATTCATGCACCTTTTAAGCATGAGCAGTATCTTCTAAAAGTTCAACAGGTCAGAGTGGCCTTGCAGAGTCTTGCTTGCTTCTTAAATCTTGTGGGAGGACGAGATAGGAAGAACAGGCCTTCCTCCAGGCCCGTTACGGCCAGTTATAAAAAGGCAATCCATTTCCTGCTCTCTTCCACGGAAGGTGACAGTTTTACCACTGTCCCCCAGTTTTACCCCCTCTGGCATTTTTCAGGACTTTGATGTAAGAAACACTATTACCCTTAGTACAACTATTTACATGGCTCTATTCTCAGGGCTTTTGGCCTTAAGGGCCTTCAATGATCCTACCCTAGCCCTGTATTTCACCCTTTCTTTGGTTTTCACCTTGCCACTGAGTAACATTTCATTTCTCACACCACCATATTGAATTGTATCCAGCCTCGTTCTCAGGTGTGCTGTTTGTGCTTCTTTGCGCAGCTTCCGAACTTTCCCTGGAGGTGGCCAATATCCCTTAACTTTCCAGGGTTCTGATAGCTTCTTCAGAGCATGCCCGCCTGTACTTTTTCTTGCACATATCACTATCAGCGCTGGTGAAGCAACGACAATGTGTGGCGATCTGCTGTTGTCACAGTGAAAAACAATTCTGAAATCAGCCTCTTCCTATGCAGTCCTGAGTTCTGCAAAGCGTGTACTTGGAGTCGTTCGTTTCAGAACCCACCAGCTCTAATACGGAATGGCAAGATCTGATTCATAATATGCAAACTCTCTTCTGATACTGCAGTTGGACAGATGCCCGGCTTAATTGGTGCCGTTGTATCTTGAAGACTATCAGTGCAGCTGCGAGTTGCACCTCCATAAATCATGGGTTGGATGAAGACCTCTGCCAAGTCTCTTCAGACAGCTACGCCTTGAGGTGTACAAATTGCACCTGCAACTTCCTGTCCCTCAGCAATTGTTTGCAGCATCCCATAACAAATAGGAAAACTCTCATAATCCAATTTATGTTCTAAAATGTGTTTCTTTATCTATTGCTTTTATATAGCCCTCAAGAGCTGAAATTTTCTTGGCTGTTCTCATAATAGTGATTTAAACTATCTCACACACACATAATATGGGATACACATCATGTAAAAAAAACTTAAATGGGAATCAAGAAGGTCTGTTCCTAGGATCCATGATTCCATGCTGTGGGGAACACAACAAGTACTAGATCCATCATTTTTATGGTTCCTTTGCTAGAGTCAGATGAGCTCTGTGACTGGGTAGTGATTTGGGGGATTTTTCCCGCAAAAATCATAAGGCTCTTTCAAGATCTGTGCCATGGATCCTCATTGTTGGCAGCACCACCAAGTTTTCTTATTTTTCCTTTGATTTGAATGGGTAAGTTTTTGGAGCCAGATGTGCTAGTTGACTGAACCATGTTTAGAGGATTTTGGGGAAATCATGAGGATATGTGTCCCAGATCCACATCTTTGTGCCAAAGCAACACCAATGAGTGGCAGTTCCCCTGTGCTGGATTTACATTTGGGCTGAGTGAGCTGCAATTCGGGGCCTCTTAATCTAAGGGGGCCTCAGCCTCCTACCAATTTTTTGGGGAATTACCATTAATTTTATTTCATTTGTAATGATAGCAATCAGGAGCATACCTAGGTGAAAGATAATTTTCTAGACTAAAAAGGATAAAGAATGATCTGCTGTCAACAATGTCCCAAAATAGGTTGTCTGATCTAAGCATTTCCTGTACAGAAAATGATAGAATGCGACTTATTGATTTTAATTACATCATTGATAAGTTTGCATCCAAAAAAAGCCTGAAAAAACTGTTCTGTTCTGACTTCATATATAGTGCAATGTTCTAACATAGCTATGATTGAACGTTCCATGTGAACATCTCCATTAATTCCATACTTTTGTAAACTGATTAAACGTTATACATTTATAAACAATCTTTTAATCAATGCTAAATTTTCAGCCATGTTCTAGTTTCACTGATTAAATAAAGAAGAAAACAAGGTTTTGTTTCTCATGATCAGATGCTATTAAATTTGGGTCTCCCAAGGTCTCCTAGCCCAGGGCCTCCAGTTGCTTTAGTCTGGGACTGCAGATCCCTGATTTTCTTGGTTAAGCCTGTGGAGATGATAGCATGCTTGGTTTATGCTTGGGTGGGAGTTACTTGCAAAATCATGAGGATCCATGCCTCAGACCCATGTTCTTGCTCTGCAGCAGTGACTGAAGAGTGTTCAGGACATGTTTTAGCAGTTTAAACTGTGGCAGCCTGGGTGCTCGGTGAGTGAATGATGGTTTGGGAGATTTTCCCTGCACAAATCGGGAGGAACCATGAAGATCCGTACCTCAGATTCAAGTTCTTGTGCTGCAGCAGTGCCACTGAATGGCAGATACTTGATTTTTGTGATTCATGGTTTCTGAGAATGCTGCTTCGGAAACTCGCATTCATCCATGTCTATCCATGGCTCTGAGTTTTGTGCCACAGCAGTGCCTGTGAATGGCAAATGTGTTTATTATGGTTTTGTGACGAAGGCAGACCAGTGTGTGATTAGATTGTGCTATGTGGCATTTTTCCAGGTAAAATCATGAGGATCCATGCCTCAGATCCACGTTTTGCAAGGTGGACGCACCTACACGTGTCGGACCCATGAGGCTGTGGTTCAGGCCATGGAGGTAATTTTTCCTTACGCATTTTTATTGTGTATTGCAAAACCAAACCACACACTGCAGAGGAAAAGAATACAGTTTTAGTTTGTTTTGTCTGTGGAGGGAGATGTGCTGTGAGATCGGATGGGAATCGATGTGATTCTCTGTAGGGAGATCTGTATTCTAATGTAAGTAGTAGCAAAAGGCCACTACTGTTAAATTAAAAAAAAAAAAAGCTGATATTGTCAAATGTTCTGGCATATTTATTGGTTCTTTGAAATTCAGTGACTGCTTGATTTTGAGCGAAGTACAACTTTGGCAGGAAAATAGTCAACCTTGTCTTGCATACTATTGCATTGTATTACTTTTTTAACAATTTTGTAATAAAATGATGTACATTAAAAAAAATTGTGAGCCGCCCAGAGGCTTTGTTGTGATGGGGGCAGCATAAAAATGTGTTAAATAAATAAATAAATAAAAATCGAGAGGATCTGTTCATTTCATGGCTCCCACTTTCATCCAGATCCTATGCGCATTTATTTTGCAGTAAATCTCACTGGGTTTACTCTTAGGGACCTGTGAAATCCACAAAGGTGTGAAGTGTGCAAGCTCACCCAAATTGTTAGGTATAAAAACAAAAACAGACTATTGCTAGAGCCTGACTGTTTAATCATGAAAACATCAGCCACACTATCTCAACAATCGCTAGCTATTGCATGAGATTGAAAACATCAATAACAAAACTCTCCAAGCTGATCTGAAGGCGCTTGCTTAGCAGCTGTTTCGGAGCTGTATTTGCCTTTATGCAAAGCCGTTTTTTAAAAGCAAAAAACTTTTGGACGGCGTAGGTTCCACCGAGATTTGAACTCGGATCGCTGGATTCAGAGTCCAGAGTGCTAACCATTACACCATGGAACCCGCTTGGCGGAGCCGCCCCAGAGCTTCCTCTAGAGCTCTCGCAGATCCGCTTCCTGCTTCAAAAGCTCTGCCTCCAGCTTCTTGCCTGGCTCCGGATCAATAGGGTGCATGCAAAGACAGTTTTAAGATCCCTCCAGATGCGGCTTGAGACAGACCAGGGCGGGGGGCGGTGGATGCTGGAGCCTGGAGGATGTGTTTGTGGGTCCGCATGCACGCGTGTGCTGAGGTTTCAATCTAAGCATCGTTGGTTTCCAGTGCGGATCAAGTGGTGTTTTTCTGTCTTGCATGTCTGAAAGGCAGTCCAGGGAAACATGCTTCTACTGGGGGGCCATGGCCCCAATAGGGAGATGCTGCAGACGCCTGACACACAGACCGAGGGGGCATTCAGATGGACGGGTAGCGGCAGGGTCGCATTTCTCAGTTTGGGTCCTGCACGGCGTGCTCCCGCAATGGATCCCGTGGACACAGGAAGCAGGCAAAGATTGAGGCGCACTCTGCACATGCTCTGAGGCGTCTCCGCACATTCCAGGCAGGGGTTCCGGGGCAATACATTGAAATACAAGTATAAATTTGACGTCAAAACGGCTGATTTCTATAATAAGAGGAACCAGGGCTCAAGGCGGTGGAGATGAAAGCGCTCTGTACACGTTCAGACGCATTCACCTTCGAGGACTCTGCGGCTCCTTTAAGAAGGCCTTTCCACTCTTCGCTTCGCGATGCAGAGTAGAGATAGAAAAAGTTGAGAGTTGCCCACTGATTCAGTCCTTGATTTTAAGGTAGTTCGCGGGAAGAAAGACCACTTGGGGCACATTCTGAGGAGGGGGTCGAGGTTCGTACTCTCCCTAAAGATGAGGTCCGGCATTAACAAGGATTCCCTGTGGGAGTAGTATGAAGTCTCTCTTCCCTCTGATGGCTCTACGTTGAAAACCTTCGAGCCACTTTTGTCTTGGAAAGACCGTTCATTTCTAGAGCGGAAGTGAACGCTCTACATTCCTGCATCTCTATGGTGCGCTCTCGTTTCTAGGCGACCGTTTCGTCACGGCTGCCCGTTCCACGAGGGGCCGGAGGTGTCGTCATAGGTAATGCAGGGAGCCCTTCTGTCCACCCAGGGAGAGCAGTGATGGGGCGGTAACCCGGAAGTGCTTCCCGAAGGCGGGACCTGCGTTCCTGTTAGTCGCCTTCGGCAGGAAGGGCGGGCCCGCGAGCGGACAGGCGGAGGCTGCGGCGAGGGGGCGGGCCTGGAGCGCTGCTGGTCGCGAGGCGGACTGGGAAGCCGGAGCAGGGAGGGGCCCTTTGGCGCTGGCCGTCGCTTCCTTGTGAGCTGAGAGGCCGGAGCAGGCGCCGCGCCGCCGCCGCCATCATCATGGGGGGCTCCCGCGACGACGAGTACGACTATCTCTTCAAAGGTGGGCCTGAGCCCTCCCCCGCTGCCCCGGAGACGCCGGGATCCCTCCCCTCCCGCAGCGCCCGGGCCCCGCTCAAGAAGCCGCCTCTCCCCCGCTGCTGCGACGGTGGTCTCCCTCTCCCCAAACGTCCGGCCTCGTCCTCCTTCCGTCGCCCTTTTCGCCCTCAATGCTCAAGGTTCCCACCCATAGGAAGCCCCCCACCCACAAATGCTAAGGACGGCCCCTCCCCCGCCCCTTTCCCCGCCAATACCGGAGCCCCCCACGAGAATTCCCCCTCCGTGTTAGCATTGCACAGTGTATTTTATTCGGTGCTTTGTATTATCCCCAAGAGTCACAAGGGGAGCTGAGTGAGTCTTGTGGAGAGCTGAGGAATACCAGGCTGCTTCTTCCTTTGCCGGGTGGGGTGTCGGAGCGGCCCTTTCCAGCCCTCCCGCTGTCAGGTTTGGTCCGATGCTTGTCTCGGGGAGGGGGCTCCTGTGGGCAGCCCAGAGGGCTTCAAGAATGGTTGGGAGAAGACAGCCTGGTGGAAATCCACACCAGCACACTGAATGACCTTGGACCAGTCATGATCGCTCTGACGTGCCTACCTCTTGAGGCTGTTGTGAAAACAAAAGGGAGTTGCAGGAATGATTTTCATTCCCTCATCTTCTTGAGAGAAAGGCAAGAGAGTAAATAAGGAAGCGCACTTCAAAAATCATCTGTAGTAGCTAACGCTTGCTCTTGTTTTTGTGCTCTTGCTTTAGAACATCGCTAGTGCTTTGCTAGGCCAAGCTAGTATCTTTTGCAGGAAAGAAAAAGGCAAATCCTTTTGTTTGATAGTGATACCAAAGTGAGATGAGGAGTTCCTACAGAGCATAAGGGAAATGGCTCTCCATATGGGCATATGTTAGGGATCCACCAAAAATTGGCCAGTGGTCCAGCAGCAGTTCACGCACACACTGCTGTCTTCTCCAGTTGCGTTTAGAATGTGTAGAACTGAGGCTGAGCTTCTGTGGACTGAATAGTGAATTGAAGATTTCACTTCCCTACCTTTTCTAAAGAAATTTAGAAATTTAGTAATGGCAGCTGTGCTGTGTGTGTGTGTGGGGGGGTGTCAATAAGGTGTTTAACATTAAATGAGGGAGAGAGACAGGACTTTGTCAACTTACGAGCCCCTGTTGGATCACAGCAAAAGGATTCCTCTAGTTCCCAAATTCTGTTCCAGCCGATGCCACTGCAAAATCAAAATGGCAACTGTTGGTTTACACGGAGGTGTAGTGCCTCTGACTAAAGAGATTCTTTGGCATTAGCACAGCTATTTGTAGACTACAAAAAGTGGCTGCCTCAACTTAAAATGATCCCTGCAGAGAAACAGGAAAGTGCATGAGCCTAAATGACAGATTAAGCACTGCCCCACCCTGCTTTTCCAAGACTTTTGCATCTCTCAAAGATAGGGAAGGAAGAACTTGGGGCTGCTATCAAATGTCCCCAGAAAGCGAGAGGGTGACACTGAAAAAGCAGGCATTGGGAACCAGCTTTTCATTTGTCCTAGTTTGTGGTTACTTCTTTAGTTCGCCCATCTAAAGGCTAACAGTCAATCCATGTGTTATTTCTGGTTCTCTTTCTTTTCTCCGCATCTCCCCACTTCTCCAGCCAAAGGTTTGTTTTGCAATGTTTCTTATCTCTTTTCTTGGGTCTTCTTCAGAGATATTTATGGCTAGGCCCACTGGAAACCTTTGCGGAAATCCACTGACACGCCAGCTCTCCAAATTGCTCTTTTGACTGTGTCATCCAGGACAGTGTATTTTCTGCATTTCTGCCCCAATTAGTTGCTTCCTTCATTTGGAAGAGAGCTTTGCATGCTGAGGGTGGATTCATTATTGTACAGGGTCTGATGATATGGTGGCGCCTTTGTTCTGTGAATGGGACACACTGTAACTGTGGTAACTCTTTGGTAGGGTTTATTTCCCTTTCTTTTTTTTTAACAAGCTGTCCTTTATACTTAATGTTGGGAAAATGCACTTCTCCTTCAGGACTTACTGTCTCTGACTAACTTCCCCTTGACCCCCTCAGTCTTTTGGTTGCATTCTTGCATAAAATACCTTCTCATATCTCTGTGGTTTTCCTCTGAATTTTTGTTCCTGCACTTTTTTTTTTTTTTTGTGGAAAGGAAGTAGTTTTTTAAGAGTTTTTTTTCCACCAGAGAGCCAGTGATTTAATAGATAAACCTCAACTTCCAGTTTATTTTGGGAGGTGATTGGGAAAGGACACAGATAACTGGTGAAGTTGGTATACTTCTGATTTTTAAAATGTTTAGTACGTTTGGTGGTTTCCAGAGGCAGTGCATTCCCCCATAGAAGGGAGCAGTTTAAAGCTTCGGGTTAATCTCGCTCTGGAATGTTTGTCTTTTTGGTGGGAGGAAGGGTGGTGCTCTGGCATGCTGAGGAAGTTAGCTGTCCATCTTTGTCTAGGTTGAGCTGAAGGGTGTGGGTGTCCACCTAGAAATGGTTGTGGGAGTTATGAACCAATTTCTGAAGAAATGCTGATTAGCAGCAGCATTAATGAAGACAAGTGCTCTTGGTCTGTGTGTCAATAGTGCTAATGTGAGCGAGCGCTGCGTTTTCCCGGCTTGGCACTGAGTTATTTGGTGCCATAGGAAATGTTGCTGCAGCTCCTTCCTTTTCAAGTGTACTCTCCTCTCCTAGCAAGCGGGATGTTGCACACATTGATCTCACTTCCGGCCTTATTACTGCACAACAGTTACCAGTTCATTGCCAGCTCTCCTCTGGGATATGCGTGCATTCTTCTCTGGCTGATCGTTCAGCGGACTTCTGCTGATAGCAAGGGGGTGTGTGTGTTGGGAAATGACAAGTCTAACCACTCAGCAAAGTCATGCTTTATTAAGCAAAAGGAATGTTGCAAAAGGTTGTAAATCTAAGTTTTAGAAACTCTGCACAAGTGGCTACCTGCTTTGAACTTTTTCCTTCACTTGGAATCTTATTTCACTATGATCAAGCCTTAAATTCTTCCCAAGTGCATCAGGCTTATATTGTGAATGGTTGCTTCCTGACATCTTCAGACAGAAGGCAAAAACTCTGATCCACATGCCCAAAGCCCCTCACAGCCTCCTTGCTTGTCTGCTGTTCTTTTTTGTGATCCAGATGGCCTTGGTGTCCTGCTTTGGCTGAAGCAAACTGAGGAAAAAGGGATAAAAGGTGATAAAACTGACAGATGTTCAAGTGTGAAGGCTTCAATCCAGTGGGGATCGGGCTGAGGTGGCAGGAAGAGGTTGAAGTGCAGTTAAGCAGACAGATTCATGCTACAAAGTCTGGAAGCAGAGTAAAGCAGGAAGCCATAGGGCAGGTGCATGGAGCATCAATCACAGTCCAGTGTCTGAGAGACCAGGGAGAAGACCCTGGAGCTGAAAAAGTGTTGCTTCCCACACTGCCTAGGCAGAGCCTGAAGGCTTGTATCACCAAGGCCTGCTGAACCCCATTCAGGGCTCAGTTATAGTACCACGGAGCTCTCTGGCCAGAGCCCTGCTTATGAGGAGTGGTCTTCTGAGGTGTGCTTCTCAACAAGCACTTGTTCCTGCAGGTCGGGGGGTTGTTCAGCCTCCGACCCAGAGTCAAAGTCCTTTCCCCTAGCTGTGGTGGACTTGCAGTCTCCTTGCCTGAGGGCCCAGTCTCTTTCGGGCCTGGCCGCAGTGATTGGTTTTGGTGCTCCTGTCTTCTGGGAGCGCTAACTTTGAGGAGGATTCTTCTAGAACAGCCTTCTCCAACCTTGTTTGGATTGCAAACCTCGGAACTCCCAGTCAATGGCCCTGATAGAAACATAGAAACAGAGTGAGTCAGAAGGGGCTCCCGGGCCATCTAGTCTGACCCCCGGCTCCAGCCGGCTCCGCTCACGACATGCCCGCCATGTGCATGTCCAGCCTACCTTTGAACACCCGCACCGATGGGGCCTCAGAGATGGATGGGAATTCTGGGAGTGGCAATCCAAATGCCTCTGAAGGCCTCCGGTTGGGGAAGGCTGTTCCAGAAGGGGCATGCCATTTGGGTTGCATGTGATGCTTGCACCTTGAAGTTCAGACAGCCCTGGGATAATCCTTAATGAGCACATGCAGGACACTTGGTGGTTCAAGCATTTCCCATTTATATTTCACAAGCTTGGCAACCATCTTGTAAAGGAGGTCAGTTTTGTTCCCATGCTGCAGAAAGGAGAGGGTTAGACAGAAATTTTCCTAAGCCCCCCCTCCCCCCAGGAGCCTCTGATGAAGGCAAGGGCTGAGGGCTTCTGGGTTGACCTCTATTCCCATGGCGCTGCATCAGCTCTCCAGACAACTCTTCTGAAGTTATTAGTCCTCTAGGGTTTTTAATAATCTCCCTCCCTCCTGGTTTGTAATTGTTGCAGCAGAATCACAGTCTGCAAAGCTGCCTTTGTCCTTTAGCTACTGTGGGGCTTTTTTTGGTGGCAAAGATGTTTTCCATCCTGAGGCAACTTGGAAGATCCAGACCAGATTGTGTGCGTGTGCATGTGTGTGCGTGCCTGTGGGGGGGGGGGGGAGCTAATTTGACTGATAGCTCATTCTGTAGCTTAGATTAACATTGACCCGTTGAAGCTTAAGTCACTAGTTGCAGCCTAACCTAAACCTGATTCTGTATCCTTGTTTCATTTCTATCAGTTTGATGTGCTCAGGGCACAGTTTGTGTTGCAAGCTGGGTTACTGTTCTCCAAGGAATTCCAGAAATTGTGGGTCTGTGAGGGGGTGGTGAGACGTCTCTGCAAGAACACCATGGTACACCATGTAATGTTGCAGTTCCTTGGCTTTCCTTTAAGGGGAGCCACAGCACACAGACTGGGTCTTCTTGGGTACGGTCTTAGACCGGTGCTCTTTTGCTTGGTATTATGACTAAAATTGCCTGAGTAGCCCTGCTGGATCAATGGAACAGAGGGGGAAGTGTGTCCTTTTTGATTTGCCGAATCTCAGCAGCATTTGAAGTCATCCATCAAAATATCCT